TTTTTTGCTCAAAATTCTTCTTGTATGCTTCTATCGTTGTGTTTGTAAAATTGGCCCGATCGGAAACGTAGCCAAGGCAAAAAACGTGAAAAACTACCGTCTGTAATACAAATCTATACAAAAGTGGGGCCCCAGAATCGGGTGGCGGCCGGTGACTTCCGGCTTCACTTTTGTATACTATAGATGCGTTATCCAGTCTTATTTCAGATCAGTGGCTGTTTCCAATTTAAGTGGCAGTCAATATAGATACCTAGGTATTTAACATAGCTTGTTTGTTTAATGGAGTCACAACTGATATAAAGTTTAAGATCATGGGTAATTACTTTTTGAGGCGTACAGAATATAACGTAATTTGTTTTATCAGTATTCAAACATAGTTTATTTGCAGACAGCCAAGAAAGTACCTTAATCAAATTGTGATTTATCAGCTCCTCCAGCCTCAATATACTATCATGCGAAAAAAATAGATTTGCATCATCAGCAAACATATGAAAGTCAAAAAGGTCAGAACAATTTTCAAAGTCATTAATATATAAAAGAACAGAACCTTGAGGCACTCCACAGGAAACATGCAATTCATCTGAACTAATACCCCTTATTGAAACATACTGCTTTCTATTTAACAAATATGATTTAAACCAATCTTTAGCTATGCCCCGAATTCCGTAGTGCTCTAGTTTTGTAATCAGTATATCATGATTTACAGTGTTGAAGGCCTTACTTAAATCTAAAAATATTCCACAAGAGTATTGTTTATTTTCGACTGCTTTTTGGATTTTATCAGTAATAAGTGTTACTGCTTGTACAGTGGAGTATCCCGACCTAAATCCGAATTGGTTTTCAGATATTATATTCATTTTCTCAACATACTTCATCAACCTCCCATACATTAGTTTTTCCAATATTCTATTAAATATAGACAATAAAGAAATTGATCGATAATTATTAACATAGATTGCAGATCCATTTTTAAATACTGGCACTATCTGAGCAATCTTAAATTTATCTGGGACAACACCAGTGCTAAAGGAACAATTATACAAAATCTCTAATGGTTCAGATATATTGCAATATAAATTTTTTAGCAGCTTTGTTGGAATACTAAAAGGACCACTTGTTTTTGATATATTGAGTTTGGCAATTTCCAGTTGAATCTCATTTGCACGTGACTGGTGAGAGAAAAAAGCTAGTTGGTATTGAACAATCCATGTATTCAAGGGGTGAAATATCGTTAGAACTAATTGAGTCAACAATTCTTGAACAATTGTAGAAAAGTATTTGTTAAATGTTTCAGCAATTGTTTTAGTATCTGTGATTTCGATATTATTCTCAACTATTTTACTTTGTATTCCCTGAGTGCTCTTTGTTTTTGGATTAACTATGTCCCTAATTCCAGTCCATATTTTTTTTTTAAATTAGAAGAGTTTTCTTTAAAAAAATTTTGGTAATTTTTCTTGCTCAATTTTATAAGTTTGCCAAGTTTATTGCTATATCTTCTGTATTCCAAAATTAGAAATTCATTATTACTTCCTAACTGTTTCCTATATAGTCGATTTTTTTGTTTCATAGACACTTTTATTGCTGAAGTGATCCATGGTTTAATTTAAGGCTAAAACTGACATCTTGTCTTGATAATTTCTTAAGTGGTGCATGATTTTCAATCACCTCTGCAAACATTCCAACCGTCCCGGTTTACCCGGGACTGTCCCGGTTTGGACTATGTTGTCCCGGTGTCCCGGTTTTCTTCTTATTGTCCCGGTTTCTGCAGTATTTTAATAGTTGTATTCTTCAAATAAGGCTCATGTGACAAATATTAATGAAATTTGTTTGGTTCAATACATATTAATGAAATGGGAGCTTCTAGTTGCACCAAACAATTGCAGAGTTTGTCGCCGATCGTTGTAATTCGCGTGACATACGTTGTTTTGACAATTTAGCGTTCGCTTCAGTTCAATTCCTGAATTCCTATTCATTTTGCCAGGGTTACATGAAGTAAAGCAGCATAGCAAAAGCGGGCGCAATAATCGCGGGCTCAAGAGCCCGAGAGGATCACAGTTCAAAAGACCAGTATATAGCAAAGAAGATCACAGTTCAAAAGACCAGTAGCACAAAGACCAGTAGCACACGCGGCAAATTATATTAATTCACTATTTTATTGAATTTTGACAATGCACAGTCAAAAACTATACATATTATAGAAGTATTTATGTTTTTTTTATGCAAGAGTTATATTTTGAGGCATTTATATCATTCGCTGCTTTGTTTTTATACATAAGCATCTGAAAATCCCAGCCAGTGCTTTTCGGGGTAGATAGGGAAAAAACAAATTTTGCAAAATAACTGAATGTTATGTTAACACTTTTAATAAAAGAAAATCAATAACAGTGATCGCTTACCGGTATTCTACAATAATTTATTGAAAAAAATTTCCATGGGTATCTCATTTTTAAAAAAAAGCGATTTTCACCTTTCGAACGGCGTTTTCCCTATCTTTTGCTATGAAATTTAAGCGACGGCACTGGCTGGAAGATTTTGCGTGGCGCGTAGAACGTGCTAGTGACACAAAAATTCAGGTTATCGTGAGTGTCAGTTTCCTCTCTGTATATCTCTTCTCTGTGCCAGTAGTATAACGAAACAATTTCGCCAGTACAGTACTTCAATGAAATTAAAGCTTGTTGAGAAGCCTTTATATTACTTATGGGTTTCAACGTTAGTGTAATAAAACTAGTTTTTGCAGCATCCACTGTGAATTTATTGTTTATAATATAAATGCAACTCAGCCAATTTTAACACTAACCCAAATAGACACCACATCAATGAGAAAAGTGCGGCATTTATTCGAGGGAGGCGTTTATTCGAGGGAGACGTTTATTTAACCTCCATCTTGCTTGGTGACCAGGCCTGTTGTTGATACTGTTCCATAATAGTCTTCTGAAAGTCCATGAACTGTTGTTGCTGCTGTTTCTGCAATGTCATCTACAGTTCCCTTTTGTTTTCTACTTATTTTTTCTTAATTTCCAGTTCAGCCTTTCGTAGCTCAAATTCCTTTTCAGATTTTTCTTGTAAATATACCAATGTTTCTCCTCCTGTGGCTCGTTTCCTCCTTGGCTTAGGTTCACTTTCCCCACTTTCAAGTTGTCTTTTTCTACTCCCTCCATAACTTACCATTGCCTTAACTCTGAGCTCTTCTGCTTGCCTTCAGTTATTCTCTATCTTTTGCTGTTTTTCGTAAGAATCCATGGCCAGAAATTCGGGACAGTCAGCGGAAAGACGCGTGGGCTCATATTGTAGCATTTTCAAAATGGTGGTTCGATTTTACAAAAAACTGAACAACTTGAGTACGGCTGATTTTATAGCATACAAAGCAACACCAAGAAGGGGAAAACTTTATGAAATTGAACGAGTCGTTGCGAAGAAGATGCGTAAGGGAAAGGTAAGTTATTTAATATGTTAACTGAGCAATAGATGAAGTTCAAAAGGGTCAAAATATGTTCATGCTTTAAAAATTCATGTCTCTGATTGTTTGATATAAAGACTGCAGTAGTGCAAAGTGTCGACATGCTTGTACAATATCATATTGGTAATTTTAGGCTGTATATCTGGTCAAGTGGGCAGGATACCACTCCTTTTCTAGAGCCAGAATGCAATCTGAATTTACTGGCCTTGAGGTGAGACATATAATTCAGTTATTCTTCAGATTAACTTGTGCATTGTGGCATGCACACATGTTGCATGACATCCTGACTATGAAGAAGTGATTGTTATGGTCTAAAGCTGTCTATGATCAAAACTGGAGTGAAATTTTGTTTGATTATACTTAATTTTATTCAACTTTATTGTAGAGCATACATGGATCCAAGTCCATCCTCAGAAATAGTTTCACGTTCAGTTGATGCCCTACACAATGCAATCTTGGATAACCTTGGTTCCAGGAGCACATTGCCAACAGTGATAATCTTTCAGCATGATGTGTTTCACTTCTTGTTTAAGAACATGGGAACAGCAAGTGAGAACAAAAATCACACACTTTTGGAAAAGGAAGATTTTGTTAGATGTGCCTTTCCGGAAAGATTGGGATATTTTAATCGACAAGCTAGGTGATGGGGTCAAAGTGGCATTCCCTATTAAAGTGCATACATTTTTGTCAAAGAGTCGAAAGAATCACTCACTATGTGAAGGACAAATCGTGGAAAAAGCTGGTTATTACATTGAGAAACTTAGCATTAACTGCCAAAAACAAGCATGTACCTTAATTAACATAACTTAACACAAAGTTTTACAATTACTTCATCATATTAGTGATCCACTGGGCTATTGCAATTTTTGCCAACCCCTTTTTGAAAACAGGAATTCCAAGGTTCCTCAATAGGAGGGGGTTGAGTTAGAAATTGCAATAGCCCAATGTGTGTTATACAGTTCAGGTGTTTTTTTATCATCCTGAAATGTTATTCCATCAAATTTCAAGTTGTGAAATTAAGCAATGATCTGTATTCTGAACAATTTTTGGAATACATAGTCAACTTTAACTTGTAATGTATGTTTACTGTCGTTCCAATTGAAGTGTTGATAAAATATTGCATGAATTCATTTCCTCACGTTGATCAATTCCTACAAATTCAAATTTCTTTTTACTTCCTGTGCGTTTCCTATTGGTCAATCAGTTCTGAAACGAAATCTAATTGGCTCATTTAAAAGTAACAGGAAGTTGATCAATTTTCTATCAAATGAATTGGTCAGCCTGAGGTAATGTATTGAATCAATATTTGAGGAACACTTCAATTGGAACGACAGTAAGTCTCCCTTGTCTTTATATCTAGCTGGAAAAGCTTGTTGCTGCCACACAATTTTTTTATATTAGTTAGTTGAGTTTCTTCCAAATAGTTTACTCAGTGTTCACACTGTGTGCTCATCATATCAAACTAGTAATAAACAATTTTGAAATAGTACAGCGTGACAATTTTGACTGTGTAGCACTCACTCACAATACAGTACAATGATAATCAATTAAGTTTTCGGCTTTTATCTTTCCTTGCCAAATGCAGTTCATGTTCCCAGTAATGATCATTTCTCTTTTCATATGTGCGCTTTGAACGCTCTTGGTTTTTAAGTTCCCATTGTCTTGACTCAAGTTTAAGGATATCACCAGTACTATCGAATTTGTTGGACTTGTGCAACACTATATTTCTGGCCACATCATTGTTCCTTTCTACGCCCTGTCCTGTAAAGACTTTTACGGTTTTATAAAGTTCAAAAAATTTGGGAATATGGTACACCATTATATGCATATAAGGTGTTATGTTGGCCTTCTTGTAACCATTCATTTTGTCTCTCAGGGAAATGAAGAGATTAATCCATTCTTTTGTCTTACCATGGTAGTCAGTCATCATTTCAGCTGTAGGTTTTTTGCATGTAATCATTGCATAAATAATATAAAATTTTCGCTTCAAATTTCTTCAAGCAGCAATTTCTGCAAGCTTCAGGCCGAATTATTACATTAACTTTACTGGGAAGCTCTTTTAACAAGAGACTTGTAAAGTCATACTGCCCTGAACCTTTGCCATTCAGCATTTTTTTTCTCCCATACATCAAAGGAGATGCCACAAGATCGTATTGCATCTTTGAGCTCCATTAAGTGGGTATTTGTGTGTTCGCTTTTCTTTCTCTTCCAATTATCACTAACATCCCAGTTGATAGCATCCTTTACCAAATTGTTAATCAATACATCCATAATTCTTAAAAGTAAGTGTAATTCATCTGGAATCACATGGTCCAGCTCTATATTCAGTAGTGATTTTCTCACAGAGCAATAACTTTCTTTCGAACTCTTGGTTGCTGACTTTTTAAGATCTTCCAAAGTTCTTTTCAACTTTGAAGAGCTGTAGTATTCAAGGTCGTACTTCATATTCCATCTTTCATCCCTGTGTACCTTACACCAAGAGCACGCATAGTTTGATGTAGCACCACTAAGTCCCAGAAGGAGAAGAATAAATTTGTAATCCCCCCTAAAAAGAATCCAAATTGATTGTTTGCAGGGCTCGAAGTAGAGAAAAAGAAAAAATATGGCCTGCCAGTCTAAAATTTTTTGGCAGATGAAATAAATTTCAGCCTGCCATTTTTATTCATTGAACTGCCAAAAGGGCGATGTCTCATATGAGTCATATTGTAAGAGTCAATATTTTCATGACATGCATTTTTATTATTTTTAAACTTGTCTATTTTTCTACAGTAAACTTGGATTTACATTTCAAATATAAACGTATTTAGTCAACTAAATGATCTAGTATATATGAGTTGTGGTAACCAAATGAAATGAAATATATCTGTAGAATTTCACCTGCCACTTTTTTTTTAACTTGGCAGTTCAAATTTGTTTTTGCCTGCCATTTCTAAAATATGACCTGCTTTTGGCCATTGGCAGCCCACTATTTCGAGCCCTGATTGTTTGCCCGTCCACATCTATTTTCTTATCTAAGACTAGTTCATTGATATCTGTAAATATATCTTTAAAGCATCTTTCCAATGATTCATAATCCTCTTTGCCATTAACAACTCCTATGGTATGATTTCCTTTGGCAGCCATTACATCATCGGTATCTTGTAACAAAGCAAAACTGAGTAAAATAAAATTTGAATTTCTGGTCATGCGAGCCCCATCACCAGAAATTTTGACTTGAACAGGCTCATTGTTGCTCATTACAGTAGGATGTGTTGTAACATGTTCCCTGATCCTCTGTGTCAACAAATCTTTGAATGATACTTGGGCACCTTCTGGAGTAGAAGTGATATGACAAAGTTTGTTCAACTGATCTCTCTTCTGCTTTACTAAATATGATCTGGGTAAATCACCACACATCATAGTCAATTCATGGTAAAAGTAGTCTCCCACACAAAATTTATCGAGCAGAAACAATATCTTCTCTACTTTAGACTTCTCGTCATCTGAGAGAGCATCAAATCCATGGCAATTGTGGGACACATTTGTGTCTTTGCACTCCTCAACCTTTATATTGTGTTTAATGCCAGTCTCGGTTTCACTCACTTTAATGCTTTCTATCTCCAAGCCAAATGATCTGGGAAACCACAAGGCAGTCTGTGCACGAGACAGAAATGTTTTCAAGGTTCTTGATTTTTTTTTACTTCTGAAACATGTTTTCCATTATATAAGGAATTTTGGGATGTTTTCAAGGAATCAATATAACTCTTAAGTTCTTCATTTATGCAGTGGAGATTTGAGATTTCTTCATCCTTTTCTTGCATTGCTGTTTCAATCTCCTCATAAAGAGTATGAATATCATTTTGTAGATCTTTACAGGTCTTTTTCCACTCCTGCAATTCATCTCTCATATTGCTATTTTCGTTCTTAATATCTGCAGCAGAGACCGTTTCTCCAGTGTAAATATGAAATAACTTCCTCTTGGAATATAATTCTTGTCGCTTTCTTCCCTTAAGCTTTGCATATTCTCCAGAGACTCTTCCAGCAAGTGTAGAAATTCCCTTGTTTATTCTAGACCTTATGGTTTTATCTGGACTAATTGCAAATGAATTGCCAGGTATTGCATACTCGAATAAATCAACAAATGAGCACTGTTCGATGTTTATACTGTTGTTGTCGAGATTGTTGTCTCTACTCAATTCAGAAAAGGTGGTTCCAGACTTTACTAAGATGCCATGCCAAACTTTTAACAGTGGATAAGGTATGTTTACTGCAAAAAGGACAGTTCTGGCCATGTCTTTGGCTGCGTATGCTAATGATGGACTTTGAACACCGAGTTTACATTTTAAGAATGATTGGAATGCAGTCGGGCATTTATCCGACATTTTATTCGTATGTAAATTTTATAAGCACAATACAACAATGAGCCGTTTAAATACTTACTTGAGGTACAGTATGTTCAAGTAAACAAAAGAAAAGTATTTTAAAATAGACTTCCAAATGTTAAAGATGCCCAAATTGAAAAGGTGCAAATAATTTTACCAAATTTTACAAATTTTCCCGCGAAATCTGAGCTATTTTATTGCGAAATCAACCTCACTGAGCCCACAAATACACCTTGTCAGTCATATAGGTTGCCTAGCAACAATTTTAAAGCAAAATGGCAGATCAACATTTACAAATTTGCTGGGTTTTTTCCATTTTTCAAGTGATTTGTGGTGCTTGCAACGCTCGATGTACACATTTTGTTTCTGCTAAAAAGCATATATTTGGTGGCTTTTTGGAACCTGTTTCTCCATCCTCTACGGGTTATTAACTCAATTCAATCCGCCAACATTAATTTCCGACATATATGACGGGAAGATTAAATATTAAAGAACTTCGCGAGTATTTGCAGTAGACATACGAAAATACCACCAAAAAATTCCGCTTGATCGATACTATATATTCAGAAATATTCATATAATTTTATTGTTTCTCGCTCAATTTCAAGCGAATTTCTTACCTTGAAATGATCAATGCGGTGAAATTTATGCAAATGACACATCAATTTTGCTGTTGCATTTTGAATGTTCCGCCTGATTCAAATGCTCGTCTTTTTGCTTTTTTTCAACGTATAATAATAACAAATATACCAAAAGAATCGCCATCTTCCATTCTATAGCTCGGAGCAGTCTCGGGAAATTGCGAAATAATCTAAGCCTATTATGGCAATTCTCGTGATCGCAAAGTGTTCGGCCAACTTCGGACGCCAAATTCTTGGTAAAGCATTACAATTTCCTGGTAAAAGACTGCAGGGATCACTTCCGGAGTGTTTGTTTACCCTAGATACGGATTTTGATTGGCTTAGGCAGAAAAACAAATCTTTTAGAGCAATTTTCCTGATTATCGCGCACGGGAATGCACGAGCGTTGAAATGTATTGTGTTGTAGTTTTGTTTGAATCGCATTCCGAAGACGTTTTTGGCTTTATTTTGCAAACTGATAGTGCTAGTAATGATGGAATGTCTTCGTATGAAGACAAGTATCTCAACCTGGCATTGGGAGTCGTGTCTGGAGTTTCAAGGCAAGTATTTGTATGATTTCTAGCCAATTTCTATTTCAATGTTTTGCCGTTGCCATGGCGTTTGTATTTAGTATAGCTTCACTAGTACGACCAAGTATGTCCTCATCTCGCTTTTTTGTGTTGAAATAATCGTTTCATACTGAAATTGACAAATATAAATAGTATTTATTTATATTGTTGACGAAAATTTATGGTGTTTTAGGCATAAAAATCTCTGATTCCTAGGCGAAGTAAAATGAGCCTTGAGCGCATGTTTGGTTATTGTTTGTTACATACATAATAGCCAAGTATTCATACTTATATCTTACTAGTTTGGCTCTTATTATAATTTTAAGTGGCACCATGTCTATAAAAGTTTTTATTTCCACTGATCAATATATTGATCCTGTTCCTATCTGCTGTTCCTGTTTCATAGCCTCAGGGAAGTAGAGTTCTGATGAGTCATGAGAACCCCACTCACCAACCCAGAGGGAAGGTAGGGGGATGAGTAGAGGTAGAGGGAAGCCCAGCCATTAGGACCTAAGGTTCGAAAGCTCCCTGTCTAGCATCCCCACTAGGCCCCATAGTACATGATGGATATGATGATCCCAATGATCCTGACGCCAGGAATGTTCTCCCAGATTTTGCTCCTTACTGACATGTACGGGATCCATTTCGATCAACTGTGAGCTTGAGTTCATTCGGCTCAATGAACTGTGAGCTTGAGTTCATTCGACTCTGGAGCTTCAGGAGGTAGTTTCCTGGCCATACCAATACATATGCCCACATACAAATAACTCAAAAGTTATCCCCATATACTAATAAAGAAGGGTCTTGCAGTCCACCAACCTTGAGAGGTTGATTGCCTTTTAGTATATGCAAGTTTGCTAAAAGTTGACAGTGAGATTGAAAATTATTGGAGTGTAAAAACCTTATATCATGGTCTGTGGGCAATAGAAATAATTTCTTGGGTTAGGTACAAAGCGCTTATGGCATTTGTGAATATGGTAGATCCAGTACTAAAGACTACAGCAATAAACTGCGTCAACAACTGTACCAGCCGTCACAGGATATTGTTGTTGCAGACAAACACACTGTCAAATCAAGAAATAGGTTGGGGGTTAGGCAGTTCATCAAAGCTAGATGACCTACTATGTGGGGAATAAATCTGTGGGTTGCTGCAGACAATCCTAATGGTTACATTGCGACTTTGAAATTTATACAGGAAGAAGTCCAGATATTCATCTCAACAGATTTGGGTATGACGTGGTGATCTGATATCAGTTTGGTTACAGTCTTAGGTCTTTTGTAGTACAATATAAAGGAAATATTTTCACCACATAATCCAATTATGTTCTTTGGCAAACATTACTGCTTTAGCAAACATTACTGCCTTGGAAAACATTACTTTTTTATAACTACTAATTATGATGATGCCAGCCCAACAACACTTGGTCATGCTATTTGCAAATATTTCCATGTTCTAGATTGTGAAAACAATCAATTTCTAAACAAATGAGTAGTGATTATTTCAAATTTGAATAGCATGACCAAATTTTGAGGCTGGTTATGCCACTAATAACTAAAGTCAATGGTGTAATGATTATCTAAGAATGTATGTAGTAATTGTAGAAATAAAGACATTTTGCTAATCATGATTTGAGTGTTCTTTTGTGGGTATCACAGACTTATTTTGGTGCCATACTATCTTTGGAGAGTAAGAAATATTGGAAATTTGTATTGATAACATGTTGCAGCAATAAAAAAGGACCTTTGATAAAGGTATTTGTTTCATGTGAGCACAAAATGTAAATTTTACTCCACTACCTAGTTTATATAAAAATTCAATAAAAATATTTCTATTTATGCTACATGCATGAAACTTCGGGTACTTGTAGATCATAACCGTGTCTTTCAGTCATATTCATAAATTTTTTTGACATATTTGAAATTTGAACCGCTAAATACATTTATGCATAATTGCGACATTTTTTTATCTCATAATTTATGCAAATTCATGCGAGTAAATCGTTAACCAAGCTCCGGATGAAATTGAAATTGGTATCGTTGGAAAGCAGAAGTCCTTCTCTTTCGAACGATGCCATTTCTGTTTCCGTGCGATGTATAATTTGAGAGATATAAGCGTTTGAAACAACACCACTCGAAATTGCTACTTTTCGACCGGATGAGAATGAGTTAAATATCATATCTAGCACCAGTATTTTAAAAGTTTGAGATTTAAAGTATTGCAATGTTGGTATTTCTTCTATATTTGAACAAAAAAGCGTTTAAAATGGACTTAAACTTGACCTGAAGAGTAAGCAAGCGATAGGCAAAACATTTCACACTCATGCCTTATATGCGACTTTTTTGCCATGAAAATTAATTAATTTGAGAATGAATTTATCACTATACATTAAAAATTTGTACCGATTGGCTACAAAGTCAAATTATAGGAAACCGGCTTTTTTGTTTAATTAAATGCAGTTTTTCGAGCTTCTTTTAGCCGTGTGATATTCAAAAACAGAAAACCAACGAGAAGCATAGCAGCCCAAAACGGCGTGTAGAATGCACCAAATTCTGACCAAATGCTTCCAAATGCCAATTTATATTAAGCTCGCCCCATTCCTCTGTCATTTGTCGCGCGCCGCAAGCACTCAATGAAAAGCATTGTTCATATATATAGAATATACCTAAAGTTATGTGGACTTACCTCACAGACTTCGGCTGAAATGCCATGGCGGCGTGAGAAAGGCTAATTAAGCTGTTATTGCGAGCGTTAGGAAATATATTGTTGTACTACATGATTGTTTTCTCCTCAGTATTCTCCAAATTAATGCCGGATATATAGTCATCTGGTATCAGCACTATCACAATAGTTACCAACACAACATTAGCATCCTGCCAAACTCAATCTGCCTAGCAAGTGCCATTTATTTGTTTTATGGAATTAGTGTTGAGCTCGAGTAGAGTGTTCCAGAGTAAACCTTCCTCACTGACCTTACATATGGTAAACCTTCCTCACGGCTGATGTACTAGGAATGCCACACTCTTTATTTAATAAACCAGCTGAACAACCGTTAATTCATGTCATTGAACTAGACTACCTCCACGCAAATATAAAAGTGTTTGTTAAAGATCGGGGCAATTCCATTCGGGGCTTATACTTATGGAAGTCATTCAGAACTTCAGGCGCGTCGCTCAATATAAAACAGTTCTAGAAGACTAGCTAGAAGCCTAGGACATTAACGAGGTTTTATTACCGAAATCAGTAGAGTGGCTTTTCCGGAAGTTGAAAAGACAGTTAAAAGCCAGTAGAAACGTTCATGTTTTATGACGTCACTATGAAGGAATGCAGCGTGGAACTTGTAAGTTATTTTACTTATTAGTAAACTTTACTTAAGTGCCTTCCCACGAATAAAGGTTCTCCCTAATGTGAGGCGGTTTCTACAAAAAAACGAAAACCGACCAAAAAACCCCGAAAAAACCGAGTGAACCGGGGTTTTTTTTAACAAATATGTTCCGGAAAATCGAAACTACGGTTTAAAAAAGACACAACACGCTATATGAATATCTTAAACCTGTCTTCGCAGACGTCCGCCTTTACACAGAGTAGAGACATACAGAGACGTAACTAGTGTACCCACTTTTTTTGTGCGCACGCTCGGCAAGTTACTAGATGCATGCATCTGATTGGATGACGACCTGATGACGACTCACTTTAAACTTGCTGAGCACGCGCAGTTGATCATTTTTCGCCCGGTCGCCTGAAAAAAAGTGGGTACATGATAACGTAATCTTCCGCAGTGTTTACAACGGTCAGTTACGTCTCTGTATGTCTTATCTACTCTGTGGCCTTTATTACCAGCGAATCAAAATTCACCATCGTTTGATCCGCTTATCCGTTCAAGACCTCAAGCTCGCGCGAAATTGTAGAGTGATATTAAACGTAAGGTATTTTGAAGATGTTATCAAATTTTAAACAAAATCTCTTTAGTTTTCGTGTGTAAATGCCAAAGTTGATTCATTTGCAACAAACCCGTATAAGTATTGTTCGATTTCGGTTTCCCCCCGTTTTTTTCGGTTTTCCGGTCTTTCTCCAAAAGTAACATCGAGTAATTCGGTTTTCAAAAAACATCGGTTTTACCGCCTCACCCTAGAACTTCTCCCTTTGCTCAAAAGCTTGTTTGTATTTGGCGAGCCATTGGCAATTTGTCAAACTAAATAAAGCAGTGTGACCAGACTTTTTCAGCAGTCATTACCAGTCATTAGAAAAATTTTACCATATGTCGGCTTCCCAAATAATTACGTCATGATAATGCCAAAAAACAATAGTTACGTCATCAAAGGAGAAAAAATATTCACAAAAAGTGTCTCGAAATACTTGTTGCTTTCATCGTATTGCAGTTTTTGCTAACGATAAGGCTTTATTTCTTAGGCTTGGCAGTTCTGTTCATCACTTTGAGCACGTTATTAAACAAGAAACACTAAAGGAATACCGAATGGTTTTCCGTGCAGGATTGCGTGATCCATGCACGCGGGATGTTGCGAGACTTTCGGAAAGCGTAAAAATTCACGAGCCGTAGGCGAGTGTATTTTTACGCTTTCCGAAAGTCGAGCAACATCCCAAGTGCATGGATCATGCTATCCTGCACGGGAAAACCATTTGGTAATTGTTTTATAAAATTACTACAGTGAAACGACGCTTAACTTGATTAAAATTACTGATGAAATGTGCAGTTCTCACAACATTCGTGAATTAACCAATCAGAGAATCACTTCTCCACGTTATTGAAAACAACAACATATGTGAACAGAATTTGATCGCAAATTCGCGAAAATATACAGCGAAAATACAGGGACTTTTTAGGTAGGTAGGTAGGTAGGTAAAACTTTATTTTACTACGCTAACCCCTACAGCAAAAGCTGATTTCCAAGGGGGGCGTAGCATTAAATTCAAATTTACATTAAAAATTTAGAAAAATTAAACATACAAATACAGTTACTTACATGCAGTTATTACAATTACATACATAATTAAATAGATAATAGTACATACAGTACATACATACATACATACATAATAGTAAATATTAATAGATTAAATAGTCAAGGTAAATATGGGTTTGAAAACTCTAATTAGTAGCCAGGTGTCATACGTTTTTATTGAATATAGCTAGTGATTCTTTTCCTCTTAATTCATTTGGGAGACTATTCCACAGTTTAGCCCCTCTATAGCTAAGACTTTTTTTAAGATATACAGAAATACAACGCCATAACTCGTCAATTTTAAATTAATATATTTCAACCATTTATTCTCTTCAGAGCTTTTAAAGATGATGTCCACTCCATTCTGCGCATCAGTTCTGCTCATAACAAAGGGGGACCCCCAGCCTGATATAAACATTGCCCAAATTTTGCATCTTTCGAACTTTTTTGAATTGAAACGTACAGTTTATATTCATTTACAAGCATGGCGAACCAGAAAAGTGTTAGATATTCAGTTAGTATATCATATTTTACCAATATAGCAGTTCAAAACGTAAATAAAGTTCAATCATGCGCACACGAGTGGACATCATCTTTAAAGCTGAATAAAAAAATTGTTTTCTAAATAATAAGACGGACAAAAATAGTTAAATTTTAAGTTCTAAATCAGTTTCAAAAGTCGTTGGGACAACTGCAATCAGCCGGTGTGACTTTCACCAAATTTGGCGAAATATTTTAATTTTGGCAAAATCTCGTCAATTTCGGAAAACATTATGAAATTTGTTTGGTAAAATTTGAGTACATTTTTAGGAATCGAATTATTATACCTAACCTTGTCGCAAAGTATCGAAAACGTCAATATTCATACTAAATATTATTATTATTCATACTTTGCATGCACTTTTGCCAAGGATTTTGTACTAAACCGGGGAAGCGGAATTTTGTACAGTTCCGCGGTAGCAAATACTGAAAAGTCTGGCCAGTATACGTAGCAGTTTTAGATTGTAAATCCATCGAACAGTTCAGTTGTTTCGGCACATTATTCTCTCCCCTTTACCGATGTTGTTTTCCAAATTCACGAACCGCAATGCATCAAATTTCGTGAAGAATGATATACAACATTGAATATAGGGGACGAGGGGGACCGACGTTTATAAAGTTTTCTTGACCAAGTGCCCCAGCATATGTGATACTGATTCTAAATTATACAGTTTGAATTATTTAGTAAATTGTTCTAAGATAACACATCAATTAATTAGTTATCACTTATTTACTGAGACCGAGGGAAACAGTGTGTTTTGTGGACCCGAGACCGCCGTTGTTGCCCGAGGCAACAACAGCGGTCGAGGGGCCACAAAACACACTGCTTTCCCGAGGTCTCAGTAAATAAGTGTTTTGTTATATAGTATATAAGTGTCAAAGACTCAAAGTATGAATAATTCACCGGTTATTGGAGTGAACTTAATTTGAAACCAAAACTGGATAAATGGAACGCCGTAAATGTTTAGTAAAAAGTTTAAAAAATGAACTTTGGAACTTCATGGTTGACACGCATGCGTATTGCACCCATTTCATTATTGACCGGTCAATAAATGTTTCATTGCGGACCGGTTGCCAAACACGACGTTTTGTGGACCAGCACGTGATACGGTTTTGACCAATCGGCAAACAGAAAAATTGAACTTTGACACTAACTGTATAACAATTTCATTTAATACGTTCAGATCAATTATGTTCCAATTATGTTCCATTAATGCAATTTAAAGTCGGGAAATAAAATAAGTGAGCATTTTAAATTTCTGTTCAGCCTTTTCAAATTTTACCGATGCTTTCGATGAATACAATTTACAATTGTTCACTTCGCCCTTGCAGGACGTCTGGTCGCTGCAGAAATTAAAAACATCGCAAGAAGTATCTTGTAGACAAGCTTTCTTGCATGATTGCGCATCAACCGTTTTGTTACTTGTTGGGCGGGCTTTGGTTGAAACACGAAGATGTTCCACAACAAAATCTGTTTTCTGATCGTTAATCTTTGTAGGAAATATTATAATCTTTGCCTTGGCATTCGCTTCTTTCGAGATTTCATGCTTTTTGTTTGCGTCACCGTAGAAATGGCACTTGTTGGAGTTTGATATATAAGCTATAGATAAACAATGACGATTTTCAAAACATCTGGAAATACAAGATGTCTCCGTAGCGGCCGCAAACGTCGAGATAGAATTCAGAAGGTAAAAATTGTTAATTGTGATACCAACGGACACTGATTCCTCACAAGAATTAACAGTTCCGGCATGTAATAGTTGTTGACAATACAACTTCTCAATCCCAACTAATTTCTTTCTTAATAAATTATAATTTATACCTGTGCCTTCCATAAACACATTAGTAAATAAATTGAAGATTGGTTCAATTTTATAAGATGTTGGAACGGGGTTTTCTTTGACTGTCGATGCCCAGTATGCGGCTTCTCCATTGCTTGGCGGAGCTGCCCCAACAGTTATTGTCGTTGTTTCAACTTCTTTGGAAAATTGTGAAGCTGCCTGTCTTTCACTTTTGTCCAAACTAAATCCTCCACTGACGCTGACCAGGCCGGAGTAGCTCGCTTGCGCTGAAACACTGATATCTCTCGAAGATGCTGTTTTGTAAGATTGCGAACTCATACTGTGTTGTTTCATAAACCTGGCTCCAAACACCACACTTGTTGGGAAATGTGTCCCATAATACTTTACAAATTTTAGTAAGTTAGCTTTTGAATGGTTTCTTTCTAGTGTTTTCGCCCAGCGATAAAAACCCAGATGTAATGGTGGAGGTTGGGTTAAATCAATTTTACTGAAATAGTAAGAACATTTTGCTGAAGATGTAATATACACTTTTTCACCCGATGAGACTTCAGATGAAGTTTGCTTGTAACTCGAACTAGCAGAGAAACTAAAAGCGCCAAATCCGCCACTAGCTGAGACTGACACAGAAAGAGACTTGTGCAACTCAAACGTATTTTGTATGACCGTTGAAGTAAACGATGTAACACACGATACATCCGGGATAACTAGCAAACCCTTTGGAACACTGTAGCGACAATCACCCGTCTGTCGATTGTCACTGTAATCAGCAGAGAAGATTTGATGAGTGAAACCAGGATCATGACCATTAGAATTGGGATAGCCTTTGATAATATTATAACCAAGGAAGGCGTAATCCAAGTCTGGAAAGGTATTTCTGAGATTTGGGTCTTGGCTAGATTTTTGACACTGTCGTATAGTTTTCGTTCCTATAAAATGTTGCGAAATTATTTATTATGCTAAATAAGTCATAAATAAATGTTTAGCAGAAAACCGCGTACGAAATCAGTACTCCGACCAGTACTGTTTGAAGAGAAGTCTGTTGGTTTCATTTAGATCACGCGACTTCTCCTCCGCAGAGGCTTTAGTTGGCTATGATTACAGAGGCACGAAGCCTCTGCACGATGCCACACCCAATATGGCGGTAAACCAGGGGGGGGGGCGTATAATTATCAAACGAAAAATTCAAATCAAAATGGCTGAGAAAATATCTCTTTATAATACTAACTGCAACAAGCTCACAAAGAGATTATTTACTAGCTCTACGAAATAAAAAAGTGTTATGTCCAGTTTGCGAGAAAACATCTGTTATTTTTTTCTAGACAAGGTCTCCATCTACAGAGCTACACACAGGCCATAGAAAAGTCCCTTAAGGCCACTTCATAAAATGTAATGTTGTTCAAAAAATTGATCATTCGCCGGTTGGTTGTGGTTGGAGTTGTTGCAACCTACAATATACGAAGGAAATACAGTACTGTTGGAAACCTACTACAGATTTCAGTGTAAAGATGAAAAGAATGAGAACGGCTGCAGACTCTGATAGGGCTACATCAGAGAGTGATGTTGAGAATTCGTATAACACTGACAACGAAGTTGAAACTATTCTGCGTCAGAAAGTGATTCTGATAACGTAGATGATACGAGTAGTGAAGTAGGTGATGAATACGAAAGCGATCCATGGGCTCCTTTAAAAGCTGAAACAGCCCAACAAAGTTTATCGGAATTCGAAGTACTAACGCAGAATTTCACTGCAGAAGGTTTTGACGAAAACGAAGCTAAAGACAAGGCATACCTAGACAAGGCATACCTACTTATCCTACCAAAACTTCGTTAATATTTGCAGAATATTTATTTGGAACGTCTACTATAGATAAGACAATTAAAGAGGGATCCAGTACACAAAAAGATTATGAAAACCGGGGATGTCTTTGTCAACGATGATAATTTCGACCACAGGGAAGCGTTAGAGGCGCTATTGACAAGAGGAAATTTCTTTTGAAAAGACTTTTCAGAAACACATGGTCTCCTAGTGACATTGACTCTTAATGGTTGCTTGTGTTTGATTTATAAAATAAAATAAAATAAAATACGATCCTGTGTGGTAGCTATTTTCCCCTAACCCATTTCTCTAACCCTCTTCCAAGTCCCGGCAAACCTTCGGCCTTTGGGGCCACAACTATTTAATGTTAGGAAATCAGTTGACATTTATCATTTGACATTATGCCTCGGAAGTGTAAAGATTGTCCCATCTGCGGCAAGCGAGCTTTAAAAAGATTGGCAAACCATTTGGCAGACGTCCATGAACTTTCGTCCCAAGAAAGACAACCGTATCTTATTCGTGCTAAGCCAACAGCTTTAGACTTAGAAAATGTTTTAGTAGAATTGTACAGATTAATTGGAAATTAACAGTAAAAAGCAGTCAAAGTGGAATAAAAGCGGGATAAAGAATATACCCATCCGTCAACCAAAATCTTCCAGGAACTGGAGAACAAAATCAAATACAAAATCTGCAAAGAACGTGGACAATACACTGGAAATGAATGATGGCTCAAAGGAGCGGTTAAAGTTAGAAACAAAAACGGGGCAAAACTCTTAAATAATATATTATTTATACAGACAAGAATTATTAACTTTGTAGTACATAAAGAAAGAAATAAATGTGTTCTAACAATGAAATCATGTGCTTTTGCCTATTTTATATCCCCGATCTGTGTCCACGCTTATATTAGCCCGGCATTATCGTTTAATGACCTTCTTATCACTAATGATCGTTTAATGACCTTAGGGAGCAGTCATTATTAATGCCAAGGGGGGGGGAAGATATTTGGGGGGGGGCACCAAAAATTTATCAACCAGTTAGGGGGGTTACCAAAAATATCAAAGAAAAGTGGGGGGGGGCACCAAAAATAATTAACAATTATTCGCCGAAGGCGAGGTGATTATCGATGAATAAAAACCGAGACAAAGTCGAGGTTTTTATTCACGATAATCACAAAGCCTGAGGTGAATAATTGTTTCAGGATAATTTCATAGGTGATTATTTGAAAAAAAAATTGTAAAATGCACATTTCTCGTCTTTCAATTGACAAAACGGCTTCGGCCGCCATTTTGAAAATCGCTTAGGTGACCATCGCGTAATAATCACCTCAACGGTAACCAATCAGCGTGGAGAATTTTCAATAATCACCTATGTAACTATACTAATGTACAATAATCATAAAACATCAGAATTATAGTTCACTGTAATATAAATGTCAATGCAATATAAGTATAGGTAATCACAGGAAGGAGTGCAATTAATTATATTAACACTACGAGTAATATTGAAAAATGCGCCAATATTGCACAAGCTGTTAATTAATTGCACGACTTGCCCGAGTGATTATTTATTTTATGCATAGCATGATGAAATTCAATAAAATTCAACTTCATTTTGTCAAGAGTTTTTAATTCTTTTGTAAACAATTTGGCATAAAAAAACTTGGGAAATGATCATAAACTCATAAAGGCACATAATTTAAACTATATGGACAAATGATTCAAGCTCAAATAACATATGAAATTATTAAGAAAATTTTTATAAATTGTATTTTAAACAGACTTACATAATCACGTTTCGCTGCATCTCGTTGAGATTATTTCTTAAAACTGTTTCCATGTTTTTTAAACTCATTCTTGTGCCAAAATTTAGTTCAATTGAATTCGTCCATGTGGCTTTTATACAAGATAAAGATAAATTTCCCCGCCATATTGGACTTGTTGTTTTGATTTCCCGCTCCCCCTAGTCTCCTATGCAGACCTACTTTAGCGGGTTTGGGCCCGCCACGTACGGTCTGCTTACTTTGGCCAGCATTCGCCTTCCCATTGTATTCCATTAGCCAATAGCATTCAAATACACTAGACACGCCCACTTTGAATGTCAACTGTAAAGTGTAATTGTAAACAAGGAGCGTGCGAAACCATGTAATAATACGCTATATACGTATTTAAATTGCCATAAATGTGAACAGATCGAGGAGTTTTCTGATCAATAGCAGTCGAAGTAGAAAATATTGAATATTTTCCCAACGAATGTACGCGATAGGTCGAAGGCTTAAATGTATATAAAACTATTCACTGGTAATACCTGTTTTGAACTTGACACGACTGACGCCGGTGACGGCATGTATATTCAATATACAGTATCCTATAAGTTTCCTAACGTTCAATATCAGAGCGACTTTTGCAATTACGATTTTATTAAACTTTGTAAACTGGCTAGTCATATACAAACTTAGAAACCGAAATGTGCAATGAATCAATTCAGTATTTTATATAGGCTGAATTCTGTAATCTTCATGCAATTAGTATTTATAAATCTATTATCTACACCCGCCTATAAACTTTTAAAACGTGCATATAAGTATGGATATCTTATGTATCAGGTATCGATTGTTGATATATTAAACAATAAAGACAGAGATTTATGGGAGAAAATAACTACGGATCCCAACCATGCCCTACAAGTTTTGCTGCCTCCTAGTCGTCAACTGGAATTACGCAATCGCGGACATGAGTATGAACTACCGAGAGTTCGAACAGAAAGGTTTAAAAGAGTGTTCGTTAATAGATGTCTTTTTAACTTCATATGATATTTTTGAATTAGAAATTAACTTCTTAGGAACTTCATTAAACATTACAATAATGGTATTTTAATCAATACTAATTCAGAAATTAGTATAATAATTATTGATAAGTAAGTGCAAATTGTAAGCCCGCACGTTTGTTGTGAGGTGTTGCTTTTAATATTTTAATAAAGATTTATACATACAGTATTAAAATGTACACTGTAACTTTATAACTTTGTCTTGACGTCTTTGTCCAGTATATTACTCGTGTTATAGTCATACCTGCAAACGCTTGTAAAGTAATAAAAACATCGCGAAATATTTTAGGTGATATTGTTCGATTTTATTACACTGTCTGTTCAAAACAACAGCTCGACAAATTCTAACAGATTTTACAATTGTTCCATATTGTAAATTTGTAGACTGGTATATATGTATAACAATAAAATCACTGTGAACAAATATATCTCTCTGCTCTCGCAGATAATCGGTTTAAGATATGAATACGTACAAATGAAGATATGAAATGTTCAAGATTAAATGTTTTGAAACTTTTGACGACCCAAGCCTCAAGGTCAAAGGTCAAGCCTCACAATTTTCGTGGGTAAAGCAACAAGGCGGAATTTCGTTCTCGACTAATCAGCGCTTTTGTTTACATTTTTGCCCTAAGCCAATCAGAATGCGTAAAACGCTTCATCACATGAAATTTGTAAACAAACATATGGGGTAGCTTATAAATCACCTTTTGTTTCGATGTTACACTTTGTCCCACTTTGTGACGCAAATCGTGCAGAGGCTTCGCGCCTAACGGCCGTTTTCCATTAACGTCCGCCTTGCCAGCGCGGGCGAGGCGTTCATTGTTTTTGACGATCATCATGCCCGCGTGAGCAGATTTTCAAAGCCCACTCCGCCCGCGCGGCCAAAGCGGCTGCAATGGAAATCGGCCTTAATGCGCGAAGGAGGACGGAATTCATGCTATTTGTAGTAAAGTGAATCACGAAAAGAAACCGCGAGTCTAACGAACAACCGATGTACATGTGCAGGAGAGTAAAACAAATCTCTAAAATTTTCAAACGCTTCCGTTTCTTCCCGTGTCAACTCACCAAAATGCATATGGAGATCGCTTTTCCCCTTATCCATCGTCTTCTTCCTAATCAAAAGTACAAGTACATTATCAATAACGTTGAATGCGCATGGACCCATGTTTATTATACATTGACATATACAAAACTACTGTAACAAATAAGTGTAATTGTTGTAATTGTTCGATTGTTGGCATCGTAAGTGATGGCAACAAAGAAAAAGTTGCTTCGCGCGAACAAATTTGCCTGGCGGAAACAGCTCACTTTTCCAAATTTGTCAGCCATATCTGCCATCTGACTGAACTTTACGCCTTTTCGAGGTTCGCGTAGACGCAAACTTGCCAAGTGGGGCAAAAAAAGTAG